GGGGGGGGGGCGGTGGCTTCCCTGGTGGCGCAGTGGTTAAGAATCTGCCTGCCAATGCAGGGGACACAGGTTTGAGCCCTGGTCCAGGAAGATCCCACGTGCCGCGGAGCAACTAAGTCCGTGCACCACAACTACTGAGCCTGCACTCTAGAGCCCGCGAGCCACAGCTACTGAGCCTGCGTGCCACAACTACTGAAGCCCATGTGCCTAGCAGGAGCTTTTGTTGAAGATCTACCTTGTTGCATTAGACACATGTTCTAGACAATATACATAGCATGGCCCAGATGCCTACAGATGTCTCGTGATTTTACTACCTAAGTAAGAGATGATAGGCTAAGAAATGGAAGCACACAAATACACATACACACTCACCCCTTCCAGAATTAGAAAATGTGGCAAACAGCCAGGTAGAATAAGCAAGTTGAATGGATGTAACTTCACTGTGTTTGGAAGCATTCCGATTAGGAACCTGGCTCTGCTCCTACTAAATGGCTGTTACCGTGATTTCTATCAGAAGACTGAATGGAGGGAGGAGGGTTCTATAACATAAGTATGTGTGAGTCAATTTTCATAAACCTTTGCTATCAGGTTTGAGCTAGAGGGTATGTAGATGGCAGGATAATCAGACTCTGCTAAATGAACCTATTAAGAATGGCAATGCGAGCCAATGTTAAGGAGGCTTCCTTGTCAGAATGTGATAGACTTCTTTACAAGATGTCAGTTTTTTGTAGTTGTTGTTGTTGTTTTAAATATACCTGAACTCCTGGGAAACATGATGGAATCTTACAGCTGTGAGACTTTGAGAATGACAATGCAATGTTAAGACACTGAGATTTGCCCTAAAGGACAGAGTTTTAAAAGATGGTCAAATATGGTTACAAGTGCATCAAGGTGTGATTTCTTTTGGTTCATTTGTCTCCTACCTCAAATCTGGCTTTGGGCCTGAGGCCTAAAGTCTTAGAAGGGGTGAAAGTGGTCTTCCCTCCTTCATTTTCCTACTTTAGCTAAGGTCACACCTCTTCCAGCAGCCATAAGAGTGAAGATGGCACTCAGTGAGTGCGAAGGGGGAATCTGTACATGGGCCCCAGCTGTGGTATATACTCATCAGCAAGTTCAAAACCATTATGCTTGCTAAAAAGAACACTTTTTACCATTTGAACAACCAAACTATATTTAAGTGCTGGCTGGCAAAGCATTTGCATTTATGAAATGTTCCGAGGGATGGGGAGAACCACGACAAAACAAAGAAACAGAACTCATCCTCACCTAGTCCCTGTGGCAGAAGAAATATATGTCCCTTGCTAGAGAGCCCAACTAGTAAATATAGATACAACATGTCTCTGAGCTCTTCACAGTATAATAAACACTTAATTTAAAAAACAGGTTTGTAGACTGCTTGCCAGGAAGATTCCTTTCTGGATATGGCTGGAGACGCAACTACTTCTTGTATACTTAAGATAGTGGGTCCCAGACATGTACGAAGCCCAAATACAGCTATAACATAAGCTGTAAAACAGATTCATACAGACCGCTTGATGCCAGTAGAGATGACCAGGGCTAGGAAGCAGGGAGACCCAAACATTGGTGCCTTTCTGATCTAATATTTTCTAGTATTTACACAACTAGTGGCACCATAAGCACCCCGTCATATACACCTTTCTATTAAGAACTGATAAATGATTAAGCCTTAGGAAGAGGGTTTCCCTTCTTATTTCATCTCTAAAAGACATGGAAGAGCAAAAGTAAAAGCTCAACGCTAGGTGGTCAGCCCTTTAAGCCTGCGACTTCCTGTTGCCCTCAGAGTGTTAGCTCCATCTGTCAAATGTCTACTCTGGCACAAAAAAGCTATTTAAAGGGTTGGTGCTATTGTGATTAGGACAGATCAGCTGGGAAGGATGGTATTTTTAGCTCTCAGCTAGACCCAGGGTGTTGAATCAGAAGGCACTAAACCCGAAAATGTTCATGTTAATAGAGCCCTCAGACTGGAAGGAAATGTAAAGGCCAGGGTACTCCAGGCCTTGGGGTGGAGGCAGAGGAAAAGCTAGAAAGGATTAGTTGCAGGAAGTGGTCTTGTAAGCGATTAGCAATGATTCAGTGTGGGAAATGATGGCCTCGGGCTCCTGGAGAAAACGAAGTGGCTGTTTTTCCCTCTGCTCCATGTGCTGCACTGCCACGTGCTGCACTGTGTGTCACTGGAAAACTGATTCGCTGGTATTTGGAGCACCCGAGGCAGGGAGGAACTGGCATGAGGCCATGGCAGAACTGATCAAAACTGAATTTGCTTTGGGAAACTGTTCCAGTTTACATCAGAAGACAAAGACCCTTTGGGAGCAAGACCAGACACCCCTTCTTTGGGCAAGATCACAAATGTACACCAAGGTTCAAGGGTTCAGAACCCCAATCTGGAAGCAGGGGGATCTTTTCTATAACTCTGACAGGCCACAGTAAAGCCCTCAATCATCCAAACGTCCATTTTCTTTTTTGAAAAAGCATGTCCCTTTCACACCAGACCTCTGAAACCAAATCTGCTTTCCAGTTACTCTGGCCTTTCTCTGCTCTCTATAGGCCAGAGTTTCCCAGATCGTGCATGTTCAAGGAACACTGGTGTTCCATAAGACGTTAATAATAAGCACTTTGTGACTTTAAATTCCACAGTGAAAAAATTCAGTTAATGTTGAGTTAAACTGGTTTCCTCGATGCAGGAAGCCTCAGCTTCTACTGTGCTCATGTGCAATGGCAACACCCAACAGAGGCACATCATACACTGTATTTTCCAACCTTTTTGACCACAGAACCCTTTTCTGAGGGACAAGTGTTCTCAGGAGCATAATAAATGAAATGCCCTGGGCCTGACTACACAAGGGTGACTATAACTCTCGCCATGAACCACTGCAGATTCTGCACCTGAAGCTTCCTGAAAAACAGCTTACACAATGGAAGACTGCCCAACCTCCCAACTCATCAAATGAGGCTTGTGGTAACTAACCAGTGAGCCTAGCAGAGAGATAACACCGTCACTTACCTAGAATACGGCATAAAAAGCAGCTCAATTTAAGTATGACTTTTTGTGAAAACTCAGCAAAAATCTGGTTTTGTTTAATAACTACATAACCAGTCAGGTTGAAAAACCCAGACCAAGAATATGTTCAAAAGAAGGCAGATATGTGGTATTCCTGAAGAGAATCGACAAACTAGTAGTGACAGTGGACATTACAGAAAACTATCTCCTCAAACACCTGTCCAAGGGCTCAGGAGAAGCCCTAGAAGAAAAGACTTGTCTGAACACAGAGGATGAATGCATCAGAGCACTCCCACTCCCCGCAAAAAAAACTTTTTAAAGAACAAGTTGAACTGAGAAGACAGTGAGTTTTTTTTTTTTCTTTCTTTCTGTACTTCTGCTATACTGCCTCTTTCCCCCACTCAATGCTCCAGCTACAGTGGGAGGGCGGCAGCCAGGAGGAGGAAATGACGGGTGAATGAAGAAGAAAAGAGGAAAAGAGGCGGCACCCAACAGCACCAAGGCTCACTTTCATTCAAACGCCTTTCATTTCATAAGGCCTTCTACTAACTTCAAAGAGAGACTGGAACAAAGGCAAGACCCTGAACAGCTGAAGGCTCCTTCCACTCCTCAGGATGCTTCAGTGAAACAAAGCCCTAGGCACTGTCAGCTGCTATTGTTTCTCCTCCTGGGCTCCCCAGTTTGATGTTCTAGTACAGTAATAAAACTAACTACTAAGGGGGCTGGAGCTTTTTCATGGTGATTAAAGAGGTCAGTATAACCATATGAAAGCTGACACAAGGCAAGAAAGAAAAAGGCTACCAACTAGGCTTTAATCAACTATGATGTAGTCTTATTTAATAGTAAACACAGGATTCCAAATAAGGATCTCAGAAAGAGTCACTACTGAAGGCTGATGTAAAATGACAAACAGTCCTTTTAATTTTTAGGAGAGTGCATATCTTCAAGTGCCACTTCAATTACCTAATGCTTAGAATGTTCAAGTAACATGACTCATACATGTTCAACTACTAGAGAATTGGGTGGGTGGATCCATTCTAGTTCTCTTCTTAAATCTGTTAGTTTGTAAGTAATCTAGTACCTACATCAAAACACCCCAAGTTTTTAAAGAGAAGTTTGCAAAGTAATACCATATACTCACTAGAAATAAGGTAGATGGGAAAAGATAGGTAAAGAAAAGACAACATTTTCAAATATCTAATTTAATACACTAAGATGAAAATGAAATTTAGAGTCATCACTCACCAGCATTTAAATGACATTCCTTAATCTGAAACTGAAGTTCATTTTCATTGGGAATATCCTTCCACGTTGCAAGGAAGACCTGGCGCTCTGTATGGGGAAGCAGAGGGAAAGGAAGGATGTGCACAATCTGTCAATATTCTGACATCTAAGCCCTTGTACCATTTTTCCTTTGGAGTGCTGGTTCTAGCAATACAGCCAGCAGTAGCCTGGGACTGGAGTCAACTCTTAGCTATGTAGAGGTACTACACTCCAGGTCAATTAATCCCTCATGAGTAGCACTAAGATACACTGGAAAAGAGTCCACATCTAGGGTTTAGTTTTGCCTCCACTGTTTTCCTATTTGGGTGGCTTTGGTGAGTCTTGTGATCTTTCTGATCCTTAATTTCCATATATTATTACATCTGCCTACCCTACCCAAAGAGCTACTGTAAGAATGAAACCAATGTTAAGTGCCAATACAACTTCATATGTATTAATACAAGCTAGTTTTATTAGATGGTGGTTTCCTAAGTAAGGGAAGAGAGAAATATCAACAACCACATGGGGAATACCAATAAATTTATCACAAATTATTGAATTCTTATCTTGAGACAGTAAGAACTCAGGATAGGGCTAAATGCTGAATTTCCATGTATTATCTCAAGTCATTATAAAAACTATTTCTGCTTTGTAAACTTGGAAACTGAAACTCCAAAAAATTAAGCACCTTGCTACAGTCACATAGCTGGTAAATAGCCAAGCTGAGATTCAAATCCACATCTACTTGTCACCAAGCCACTTACTCTGTATGCTGTGGTGACTGGCTTATTCGAATAATAGGAGACCAACAGCAAAGCAAGATCAACTGTGACTCAGGAGAATATATAATTAGCAATTATTAGAGCTTTAGAATAGCCTTCCTCCATTTTTTTAAACCTCAAAATAACTTGTCCTTCCGGGGCTATGCTCTGCCTGACACATCCAGAGAAAGAGCAAAGGTATATTTGACAGGACAGGAGGACACACTTACCCATTTTGCCGTCTTCTACAAAAAGCACGTTGAGTGGGATGAGGCAGCTGAAGTAGAAGACATCAATATTGTTTTTCACAGCCACCTGCCAGTAAAGTAGCAAGGGAAAATTAGGACATCATAAGAAGCCACGTAGGAGGGAAAGAACAGTTATGTGTCTAGAAATAAATCACCCAATTTCCTTCCTATTTATTTATTTTTAAATATTTATTTATTTATTTATTTGGTTGCGCTGGGTCTTAGTTAGTTGCGGCATATGGGATCTAGTTCCCTGACCAGGGATCAAAGCTGGGCCCCCTGCACTGGGAGCACGGAGCCTTAGCCACTGGACCACCAGGGAAGTCCCAAAAATCTGTTATTTATTTATTTAGCCTCACTGCACGGCATGTGGGATTTTAGTTCTCCGACCAGGGAATAAACCCGCGCCCCTTGCATTGGAAGCGCAGAGCCTTAACCACTGTACAGCCAGGGAAGTCCCTCCTTCCTCTTTTAGACAGGGCAGGGAACCCCAAATCAAGACATACCAGCCCATACACTGCAAAGCATGTCCTTATTCACTCCATTGTCAAGAGCACCGTGGACAGCCTGCAACTCTGCCTTGCTCCAGGAGGGGCCCCAGGAGGAATGAATTCAAGGCACAAATTCTATACCTGCGATATCTAGTCAGTTGTTTTAATAGTAGTTTCTGCTACCACTTACTAAGTACCTATTAATGACAATAGTTCTAATCCTCATTATAACTATCCCAAACAAAGTACTGTTACTACCCTCTCATTTTACAGATGAGGAACTGAGGTTCAGAAAGATTAAGTAACATCCAGTATCACACTGTCAGTACACAGAAGAACCAGGATTCAAATGTAAAACTGACTCTAAACCTTGTTTTTTTTCTCTCCACAATAACTGGTGGCATACTGCCCCTTATCTTTTTTCAGATATCAGTTTTAAAGCTCTTTCTTTTATAAAATCTTAACTTTCCTAAGGCATATGGCTGGAAAAGCTTGTTGGGTCAAACACTCGTAAATCTGATGACTCTCGGAAGGAAAAGCCTTTGAACAAATGAAGGAATGAGTTTTCTTCTCACAATACAAACTTCTGGATTTGGGCAGGCTGTGATTCTACCATGGCCCATTCAATCCAGAGCATGCTGTTCACATTTTTTAAAAAGCTATAATAAGTACCTGTGTTCAGAGGCAACGCTGACTGGTGTCTATTCAGAAACGGGCAGACTCCACCGTGGCAGATTATAAGAGCCAAATACTGTAAGAGGGGAGGGTAGGAGAAGAACTGCTCGAACTACCATTTCCCACTGGTTTCTGTCACTGGTGACTTTCCTATCTATATGCTCTTGGCACTGCAGAAAACCATTTCTCTGGGTGAGTTTTATAATCAGTAACCAAGTCTATTTCTCTCTAAGAAAATAAAGGTAGAAAGTGCTTATCTAGCACCACTATTCTCTTCCCGCCCCTTCTTGGGGCAAATGCCTATAACTTCAACAGCATATTGAGATTGAAATATCCTCTTTCTGAAGTACTTCCAGTTCTTTTACATTTGTTATCAACTCATCTCCCTCTGCATTGGGTCTTCGTTGCTGCGCACGGGCTTTCTCTAGTTGTGGCGAGCGGGGGCTACTCTTCGTTGTGGTGGGTGGGCTTCTCATTGCGTTGGCTTCTCTTTGTTGCGGAGCATGGGCTCTAGGCACGTGGGCTCTAGAGCGCAGGCTCAGTAGTTATGGTGCACGGGCTTAGATGCTCCGTGGCATGTGGGAACTTCCCAGACCAGGGCTCGAACCCGTGCCCCCTGCATTGGCAGGCGGATTCTTAACCACTAAGCCACCAGGGAAGTCCCTTCCCCACCTTAAATAGTACCTTTATTTCATCCTCCATAATTTGGTTTGGGTATGTCTACTTGATATCTTTCTGCCCTCTTTCCTTTAAGAATTCATCAAATTACTTTCCTTGTAACTTGTACATTTAACCTTTAAATGACCCACACCCAGGAGTTTCTGACCTATATCACATAATCAGATGCCCAAAATGCTGAGACAGCAGGAGTCTCAAAAAGCTTGAGTCTGGTGAATACAAGCAGAGTAAATAACCTCAGGAAAGAGGGACCTTAGACATTCTTTAAGATGTACTAGAGCACCACTTCAAAAGATCTATACCAGCTGTGGGCTTCTGGGAAGGAGGTATTTTCTAATTCATCTGGTACTCAGCAATGAGAGAACGGGAACTCTTATTTCAAATAAGGGCACCAAGAAGACCTTGAGGGAGTGCCAGGCTCTGTAAAGGTCATTTAGAAGTGAAAACTGGAAGTGGTTCAAGTGGGCTAGCATGGGTCATATGTCCTCCAAGAGGTAGTATTAGTGGTTCTCAACAAAAGACTTATATTAGAATCATCTGGAGAGATTTCTCAAAACAGAATCTGGGACTCCCTCCTGTATTAAAAAAACAGCAATCCCTAAATCTGGGACCTGGAACATGTATTTTGGAAAAAGTTCCTAGGAGGATCAACCAGACAAGTAATTAATTTAGAACAATGTTACCTAAGAAGTCTGCGTGGGCTTATAAATAGATTGTTCATCTGAGGGAATCCTTATTCCAGCTGAAGCCCTTTAACAATGGAAAAGACATGAAAATCTCCTCTAGGTCAGCAGTGCTAAAACGATTCTGCCCCAAGGACCCTTTTGACAAACAGATGAAAGTCAGGGACCTTCTTTCTGAAAACTGTACATGCAAAGTTTCCACAAAAACTTCAGGGGTTTCAGGACACCCTGAAGAATATCCCTGGACTTCTGCTCTAGAATAATTCTCTGAGAAGCTGGGACACCCAAATCAGAGGCAGCAGACACAGTGGCTCTGAACACGGACTTGGGAACCAGACCAGACCACCTGATTTCAAATGCTGACTCTGTTACTTACTAGCTGTGTGACTTTAGGCAGTAGTACTCAGCTCAGTCTCCGGTCTGAAGGATGGAGATAACAAACAGGACCAAATGCACGGGGCTGTTATGAGGCTAACGAGTAAATGTTTGCAAAGCACTTATAATGGTGCCTGACTTACAATTAAGTACTATTAACAAATGTCTCTCAAAGAAAAGTTCCTTCTTCTTTCACCATTTTCTGCTTTACCTTTTACTCAGAATTTTTCATAATTAAGGATAACCACATTAGACTTATCTGACATCTTACACATGCTCAAATGTAGTATTACAACTATGCTAACAAGAGCTCAGTGAGGAAGCGTTTCATCTCTTTTACATTAGATTTTCAAAATCTGCATCTTGCAGCTTTTACTCTTCGCTAGGACTGCATTTATTTCAAATGTATATGGTTCCCTTGGATCTGGGCCCTGCCTACCTCTCCAGCCTATTTCCTTAACTTCAAGCACATCAGAATTACTTCTTGCTCCCCAAACACTGAAACTGACACGCTGTTTCTTGTCAGATGTTCTTTCTGCTTAATGTGTTCTTCTCCTAAAACTTTATCTGTCTGGAAAATATCTATTTAATCTGAAGATTTAGTTCAAGCTTGACAAGGATTTCTCAGGAAGGCTCTAGTTCCTCTCTGTAGCACCCAATCCATGCACCTCTATATAGAATAAATAATTGTTTATCTCTGCCTCACCCACAACACAATGATCTCTCTCTCAGTGCAGGGGCTCTCATCTTCACTCGCATACTAGTGACTCAATAAGTATTTGCTGCATGAAATTTAAGGGGAAGAAGTTGAGCAAATGAAACACTGGTTTCTCAACCTTTTTTTTTTTTCCTTTTTAACCTGTACATCGTTCATATGCAGAACATAATTTCAGGGACTTCCTTGGTGGCACAGTGGTTAAGAATCCACCTGCCAATGCGGGGGACACGGGTTCGAGCCCTGGTCCGAGAAGATCCCACATGCCATGGAGCAACTAAGCCCTTGCGCCACAACTACTGAGCCTGCGCTCTAGAGCCCGCGAGCCACAACTACTGAAGGCCGTGTGCCACAACTACTGAGCCCATGTGCCACAACTACTGAAGCCCATGTGCCTAGAGCCCGTGCCCCGCAACAAGAAAAGCCACCGGAATAAGCCTGTGCACCGCAACGAAGAGTTGCCCCCACTCGATGCAATTAGAGAAAGCCTGTGCCGCAGCAACGAAGACCCAACGCAGCCATAAATAAATAAATAAATTTATTTTAAAACCCCCATAATTTCACCAGTAACATGGCTCATTAGGCACACAGATACTTGATGAGGCAAGGATGGGGGGATAGAATGATACGTGGGCTCTTTTGGTTTCAGATTCATTGGGCTAAAATAATATTTAGATGTTGAGGAAGAATAACATAGGCAGTAGATCACAACCCAAAGAATATTAGATTCTCCAAGGATATGCCAATAACTCTTCGGGAGTCTCAGCAAAGAAGATTCAAGGAAAACACAGTATGAAGCCAGTCCAATTCCAATCCAGACGGCAGCTCTCTCTCTTTTTAAATTTTTATTTATTTATTTTGGGCTGCGTTGGGTCTTCCTTGCTGCACGCAGGCTTTCTCCAGTTGTGGCGAGCCGGGGCTACTCTTCGTTGCGGTGCGCAGGCTTCTCACTATGGTGGCTTCTCTTGTTGCAGGGCACGGACTCTAGGTGCACAGGCTTCAGTAGTTGTGGCACGTGGGCTCAGTAGCTGTGACTCGCGGGCTCTAGAGCACAGGCTCAGTAGTTGTGGTCCACGGGCTTAGCTGCTCCGCAGCATGTGGGACCTTCCCGGACCAGGACTCGAACCTATGTCCCCTGCATTGGCAGGAGGATTCTTAACCACTGCGCCACCAGGGAAGTTCCCAGACAGCAGCTCTCTTAAACAGAATTGAGTAAACCTTAGAGTATGATACTGACTGCTTCAGCGGGAGAGAGCGGAGTTCTTTGTTTTCTTATTTTGAAATTCACCATCCCAACAGGTACAGAACAGAAAGACATAATCCAGACAAGGTGGAGAAGTATTTTCCAAGAGCTTTAACATCAACGTCTAGCTTGCCTATGGCAAATCAATTACCACATACATATCCAACTGCCTACTTGGTATCTCTACTTGGATAACTAACAGATATC